AAATTATGTAAAGCACTTTGAAATGCCTTGCTGCTGAAATGTGCTATACAAATAAAATTTGATTGATTGATTGATCTCACTACCTCCAGTTCTTATGCCACACAGCTGGGTAAAGTGATGGCCCTGTCCTGCTACTCGTAGATTTCTCTCTGGTTCAGCACAGCTAGCTCGTTAGCAGAGCTCTGTGGAGCTGGACTGCAGGTTGGTGAGGAGGTCTCACCATTTGATGCCAGTGTGAAGGACAAGGGACACACCTTAGGATCCGTTCAGCGATTTATAAACTACCAGCAGTAGTTTAAAGTCTGTTCTCTCAGTGAATGACTATAGAACCGGGTGGTGTAGAACCAGGTGCTGTAGATCCAGGTGATGTAGAATCAGGTGATGTAGAACCCGGTGGTGTAGATCCAGGTGGTGTAGAACCAGGTGGTGTCTCTACCCTCCTGGTTCTAGTCAGATCTCCAGCTGCAGCTTCTGGTCTCAGTCTGACCTGCTGCAGGAATCAAAGCCACTAAATCCTGGATGAGTTTCTCTGGTCGGAGACTTTCGTCCTCTGGGCCTGAAATGTTCTGCAGCTGCTGGAAGGTCCACTGAGGAACCGGCTTTATGTGGCTCTGGAGGGTCAGGTCAGAGGTCAGCCTGATCTTTAGTTACCAGCTGTGATAACTGAAGCTGTGCATTGACTCTAGATCTATAACTCTAGATTTTTCCTCTTCAGGTCCAAAGGTCATAATTTCAGTTTTGTTTCTGTTCAGCTTTCGTACATCCATTGATCTGTTCAGTGATTGGACGGTTCAGACTTCGTGATGTAGAGCTGTTTATCGTCCCCGTAGCGATGGCAGCTAATCGCATTTCCTGTTATAACCTGAGCTAGTATAGACATTGAATAAGGGGGCTCCTGGTATTGAGCCCTGGGGTTCTCCTCATGACCCCACATGACTCGACGGTCTGCTTCATTCTGTGATTACCTGCATTTATTCACATCTGACTCCCGTCGTTGAGCTGAGCAGGTCATTTCGTTTCTTCCTGGCCTGCGTCTCTGCAGGCCGACTCCCAGGGTGGAGTGGCAGAAGACAGACGGTGACCTGAAGACCACGAGTGCCTCGCTGGACAGCTTCGACCGCTGGCTTTACTTCAACAGCATCACCGAGGACGACGACGGCGAGTACCGGTGCAGGGCGCACAACGACCACGGGAATGCTACACATTCCTTCACCGTCACTGTGGAAGGTGAAAAAGAAACGCAAACATTTCAGCAACACAAAGACGAACCAGCAGGTTCAACACGGAGCCACACAGTTCAACGCTCTCTGACTCTGCATGCCTCAGTCCGAAGGTCAAAGGTGAAAAGCGACGATCAGAAGATGAAACAAATATGGTTTGAATAGAAGAGTTAAAGGAGAAACCCATCCGACATTAATATTTGTATTGGTCCTGATATTGAAATTCTGAATGAGGTATCGGTGACAACGGGCCGATCTATTTAATCTAGTTCTATGCTTTGTTCTCTGAGCGAGTCGCACCTTCAGAATTAGGTCCATGTTTTTGTTTCTTATGTTAAAACAATGTAAAACTTGTAAGATATTTATACAGGTGGGCCTGGTTTCGTATTTTTTTGTGAAATATAAACTTTCTTTGGAGCGCTTCTTGCGCGACGCCATCTTGGATATTTTCTAAAGCAAAACACGGAGCGTTTACGTTACGTCATCACGCAAATACATCACACGTTGCAGGAGCCAATGAGAAACGGTTCTTGATCCTTACTTGTTCATCCATCCATCCATTTTCTGAACACCCTTGTCCCTCAGTGGGGTCGGGAGGGGTGCTGGTGCCTATCTCCAGCTAACGTTCCGGGCGCGAGGCGGGGGTCACCCTGGACAGGTCGCCAGTCTGTCGCAGCCTTACTTGTTCATTTATTTTATAATTATTAATGCCTTAAATGAGTGTTTTATGACGGTAAAGTCTGTGTGTGTCCAGCGGCTCCCTACTGGGTGAAGAAGTTCTCAGACATGATGTACGCGCCGGGGGAAACCGTGCGGCTGGACTGCCTGGTCAAGGGGAATCCTGAACCCACCATCACCTGGAGAATCAACGGCGAGCCGCTCACAGGTGGGACACAAGTCACACATGTGATTTTATTACTGCAAACCAAATATTAAAACAACCAAAAACTCCAATTTATCTGATCAGAATTAGCTAAAATGTATCTTCTTTTGTGGAGAAGAAATACTTACAAGGTCATACAGAAAGTATTCTGAAGGAACAAAAGACCTGAAACGTTTCCTTTCACTCAGTTTCTCTTTAATTGCTTTATCCTGTAATTTAAAGGTCGAGACGAACATTAGAGACGATCTGGCACCGCTCAGTCTGACTTCTGTCCCGAAGAGCAAAATAAGATCAGCCCCACTGAGACAGAAACGTTTCAGATAAACGTCCAGAGAGAGACGCTTTCCACCGGAGAAAAACATAAAGCTGAAGACACGAAAGGAGAACAAAGGAAAAAACAAAAAAGATAAAAATGATAGACAACAACACAGAGGTTAAGTAACAGAAAATGTGTGTTTAGAAATGCAAAACAGGAAAGTAACACAGAATTAAAATTTTGAAAAGATGAAGACATTTTTATCTAAGAAGATAAATTAAAAATGGGGTGGAAATAATGTGACATCAGCAAAGAATCCAAGAAAAATATTATGAAATAACAGAAATGAAGAAAAGAAAGAAGCTTCAAAAATACAGAAAACTGTTTTAAAAGACCATAATGAAAAATAAGATGATAAACATTTTATTGTCCATAAAGGGAAATAGTTTGAGAGCAGAAGCAACAGAAAGACACAAACACAATAAGATAAAGACAGAAACATGGAGCACAGATCAGAGAAAACAGTTCAGACCGAATTAACGATTTAAAGCAGCAGCAGCATCTAAATACAAACAGGAAAGTAACTCAGTTAACAACATGAAAGGTTTCTCTGCCACAGTTACTCAGACCAGTAATGGAGGACAGCAGAAAGGATTGTTTAAAACGGGGAATTAGGCAACAAATGGCTCCTGGTGGCAGTAATTCAGTCACTAAACAGCAAATGGGAAAAAATAGGAAATAAAGACGATAGAAAGAAACGAGTCACAATAAATCAGTTAATCACATGAGAAATTAAAAAAAACTTAATACTTTCCAGTTGCATGATTTATTGTTTCTACTAAAAACTGGATGATAAAAGTCTTCAGTCTGGAGTTTTGGTCCCAACTAGCCCCTTTATTTGAAGAATAATGTTGTTTTCAGAGTCTTCATAGTTTATTTATTTGTTGTTTCTGTTGTTTTATTTATTTATTTTGGATATTTAAATGTCTTAAAAGTTGATTGATCTTTGATAATGTTTTCTCATATTATTATTATTATTATTATTATTATTATTATTATTATTATTATTATTATTATTATTATGCATTTACCTTTATGTTGCCTTAAAATGGTCTCAAAACAACATTATCATTTATTGTGATAACAGTTTATGAGACAGTCCTTCACAGAACTCTGATTACAGATGAAAGAGCTGATGCAGCAGGACCAGTTCCCTCCTCATTGTGTCTGTTTCTCTCTCCTCCTCCGCCATCTTTGTTTCTGTTGTAAATCCCTGGGCAGCGGTGGACGAGGATCCCCGCCGCAGCGTGGCCGGCAGCACGCTGATCCTGAGGGACGTGGTCGTTTCTGACACGGCCATCTATCAGTGTGAAGCCACCAACGTTCACGGCTCCATCCTGCAGAACATCAACCTGTTTGTCGTTGGTGGGAACGCGTCACGCTCTGCTGCATATAAAATCACTGTCATGCTCCAGAACGTGTGGATGAGTCTGGTTCTGTCCTGCAGAGCTCCCGCCTCAGATCCTGTCTTCTGATGGGATTGTGTACAAAGTGTTTGAAGGTGAACAAGTCAACATGGACTGTGAGTCGTTTGGTGCTCCCCGGCCTCAGATTACATGGTGAGAAGCACAGAGAATTTAATCTAGAACAAAATAACTCAAATTAAGGTGAGAATTTAAAGATCTGGACACCAAAGTGATTCCACATACTGATAATAAGCAAATAAAATGCAACAAATTTGATGACTTTTAACACCAAATGCAGAACAAACCTAGAAAAAAATACTTAAATACATTTTGTCAGATTAGTTTCTGGGATTCATATTTGTGGGTATTAGTTCATGACTGCCAGATATAGTATAAATATATACTACTTAAGTCAAGTCAGTTATTTGTACAGCAGACTTTAGCAAGAAGGAAGTTCAAAGTGATAAAAAAACAGAAATAATGAAAAAGAAAATCATTATAGTGGGAGAAAAGTTGTAATCCAGACAAGAATTCATCTGTTTTATAGTTATTAATCAAAGGCAACTGTAAATAAATGGTTTCAGCTGTGGTGGGAACAGCTAACTTTAAAGCTAGCTGTGCTAATGCTATAGCTCTAATCATCTCATCCATCCATCTTCTTTACACCCTTGTCCCTTAGTGGGGTTGGGAGGGGTGCTGCTGCCTCTCCAGCTAACGTTCTAGGTGAGAGGTGAGGTCACCTGAACAGGTCACCAGTCTGTTGCAGGGCAACACAGAGACAGACAACCATGCACACACACCTAGCAATTTGGAGAGGCCAATTAACCTGACATGTTTTTGGACTGTGGGAGGAAACTGGAGTACCCGGAGAAAACCCACACACGCACAGGGAGAACATGCTAACTCCATGCAGAAGGACCAGGGCCAGGAATTGAACCCAGAACCTTCTTGTTACAAGGCAACAGCTCTACCAGCTGCACCACTGAGCAGCCCTTAAGCATATCAATTAAGTTTATTTGTACAGCACATTTCAGCAACGAGGCTTTTCAAAGTGCCTTATGTTTTCAAACATTATGAAAACATAAAAATATCATGAACACGTCATTCACATTTGTTATGCTAATGCTAAAGAGCCACAGTTAACTTTAGTCAGGCTAGCGCTACAGCGCTACAGTTAGTTATAACTTTAGTCAGGCTAACGCTGAAGCGCTACAGTTAGTTCTAACTTTAGTCAGGCTAACGCTACAGTTAGTTATAACTTTAGTCAGGCTAGCGCTACAGTTAGTTATAACTTCAGTCAGGCTAACGCTACAGCGCTATAGTTAGTTATAACTTTAGTCAAGCTAACGCTGAAGCGCTACAGTTAGTTATACCTTTAGTCAGGCTAACGCTACAGCGCTACAGTTAGTTATAACTTTAGTCAGGCTAGCGCTACAGTTAGTTATAACTTCAGTCAGGCTAACGCTACAGCGCTATAGTTAGTTATAACTTTAGTCAAGCTAGCGCTACAGCAGCGTCTTTTATCATAACGAACAGCCTGATTCACTGTGTTTAGGCTGCGTGAAGATGCCGTTTCTCTGCTGTTGGATAATCGCGTTTCCTTATTCACCAATGGGACGGTTCAACTGGTCAACGTCACCCATGAGGACCGCGGCGCCTACATCTGCTCTGTTGACAATGCCAACATCTCCATCACCGCTAACCTGGAAGTCTACAGTGAGGGAGCTTTTAGCTTTCTTCTCCTTTTTATTGCTGTTTATGTCATATTTATTTATTTTTATGCTCTTATGAATATAAAACGATCTCTCTTGTGATTAAAGGTGATAAATTTCCCAAATAAAATGTTTCGGCCTCTGGTTCCTCTCTCTTCCAGATCGAACTGTGATTCATAAAGGTCCGCAGGACGTTAACGTCCACCTCGGACGAACTGCTTACCTGGACTGTAGCTTCTACAAAGATTCTCGGCTGCGTGCCAAGGTCCAGTGGAAAAAAGGCGAACAGGACCTGAACTTCCCAATGCCTAACAAGTAAACGCCCACAAACCCGAACGACATGCATGAAAACACAGGCAACAAACTGGTTCTGCTGAGGGAAAGGCCGTCCAGAATCTGGCTTGTTTTAACACCATTTCACAGTTTTCACCCAGCCATGTTTATCAGGCTCTGGTTGTTTGTAAGGCTGAGCAATATGAATGAAAAACGTATCACAATATAAGCGTTTCGTATCAGTCAGTATTAATAATTATTGATACCGACTGAAAACCTGGCACACTGATCCATCCTGTTTTATCCTGTTTTCTCTCCAAGCCGTTCTTTAGTTTTAAGCAGTTATAAAACCTTAAGCTGCTGTTGAGGAAGTTACTACACAGGTTGTTGCTAGGCAACCAAAGAGTAAACAGGTTGGTTGAAGCCACTCGACTCGTTTAGCTGGCTGTGAGAGGTTGAGTGGCTGAAGTCTTTCCTCTGCCTACATTTCCCAAAACGCTGCACAGTTCTTCATCGGGCTTCAGTGAATATTCTTCAGACACATTAGATGTTATTTTTACATCCAGAAATTTGCGCATGCACACAACGGGGAAGGCAAACTGAAGACTGTTCTTCAGGTGTTATTAATTTAGTGTAGTGCTCCACAGCAAAGGGAAAACAACACAGAGAAACCATGAAAGAATAACTCAGAACCACTCATATTCTTATTTTTCTCACTCTGTCTCGGCTACGCTACTCAGTCTTGTTGCCATAGCAACGGGTCCACTAGTGTATCAGGATTCAACACCAAAAAACACTCAAACATTTCCCACACAAAGAGCAGAACATTCAGTCGGTTACAGCTGTATGTTTTTAATGCTTGATGTTATTAATGTTTGTGATTATTAAGAGTAGATTAGCTATTAGCTAAGCTAACACAGCGGTGGTTGACTAGTTAATTTAGTTGTTATGTTGCCTTTTGTGATGGATTCCACATCCCATCTACATGTTACGCTTGCCATAGTCAAGCTAGCATAACTGAACTACTTCCCTCTCCCTCGCTGTTTTTTTTTTCCTGAACTTGTTATCCAGTTGTAGTGTTGACGATTAGCAGCAAAGCGCTGCTTTTTCTTTCATATATCACAGATACATTTAATGTTTATCTCTTTAAGTTGATCATTTACAGCTAAAACCGACGCTAGTCACTGTTAGCCAGCAGCTGTTTGTCCTCAGGAAGCTCGGGGTGGGATCTTTTGTGTGTGACATCACGTTGCAACATGTCTGTATATTTAATAGTCTGTCAGATGTATCTATTGATATTGATCATGTTTGTAGCAATTTATATTGTTATTGATTTATTGTCCATTTGCTTGATATTTGCATCACTTTTCTGCTTATTTTTTCTCTAGGTCCAGGTTCAATCTCCACAGGAATCACACGTTACAAGTGAAAAAGGTCCAACAAAACGACACAGGAAGGTTTTCCTGTGAGGTCCGAACGGACCCGGTGGGCCAGGTGACGGCCACCGGCTCCATCACGGTGTTAGGTATGGAAGTCGGTTTATTTCGGTTTATTAAAACGACGTCGATCATTTCTGATGAAAAGTAAAACATTGGTTGAGTATTCCAGTATGTGGTCAAGGTACAACTTCCTAGTTGTCTCTTTAGCAACTCAGCAGTGAACTCACCCAAAGTTTGCTTTTAAAATTTCTCTGCATTAAAAAATGTGAGTAAAATAAATTGCTGAAAGCTCTGAGCTAAGATTAGATTCATGGTGAAAATGAGATGCATGTGAACTTCTAACTGGAGCCACTTTTGGGCCCGCAGCTCCACCGGACCCCCCCACCTCTGTATCGCTGTCCTCCATTGAGGACTACAGCGCCACCCTCAGCTGGATCCCAGGATCTTCACACAACAGCCCCATAACAGGTAGAGAGGCAGGAAAAACCCAGTCGCATCTGTTTGGGTTTGGATTTCTGAAAAAAGTCACCTGAGCTTCACTTCACTGGATTATCAAACCGGAAACTCAAACACAGTTCGGTTTTTTCTTTATTTTCCTCCCTATGTTTTTGGCGTGGCATTGTGTTCAAATGCAACAGCGCCTCCTGTGGTCACAGAATGTGGTGCAACACCGGCGTAATTTGAGTGAAATTTTGATCTTGTGCATGTAGATGTTCACACACTGGCTAGTGACGCAACACAAGAATGTTTAAAATGTCGAGGAAAACTTCCATCTTTCACCATTGTTTGTCAGAATGGTATTTAGATTAATCTGTTATGTAAGATTAACGGGTTCGTCTTTTCAGATTAATTGTGCATTAAGCGTCGTCGCTTACGGCCCGAGTTTCTGCCCCTAGAGTTCATCGTTGAAGCCGAGGAGAAGCCGCAGACGGACAGCGGCGCCGCGGCGTGGACAGAATGGACGACGATTCCTGGAGACTTCAGGCTCTTCCAGCTCAGCCTGCAGCCTTTCTGCTGGTACCGCTTCAGGGTCGCCGCCGTCAACGAACTGGGCCAGAGCAAAGCCAGCGAGCCCACCAAGCTGCACAGCACTCCGGCTGCAGGTAGAGCCTGAACGGAGCTGTGTACTTTTAGGAGTATTTCTGCTACGCTGTACTGTTCACTTCTACTTTAGTAACTTTACTGTGAAGCATCTTTACTCTTCCTGGAGTAAAATGTCTGGATTTTCTTCCCACTGGATGGAAAATCAAACATGTTTTAACCAAACATTGCAGTTTTTGTTAAAATTTCATAAGTTTTTTATTGAAATAAATTGATTTGTTATTTTTGTTACTTATATGAATTATAACAATTTGGTCATTAAAACACCAAAATTTCCACTTAACTTTATATTTTGGTCCATATGATGATGCAATTTTTAGATATAAAATTATTGATAGTTTGATCAGTTAGTTGAACAGACTTTTTGCCAAATACTTTCTAGAGTCATTTTCTGGAGCTTCTTTTATTTTTACTTGAGTAAAAAATATGTTGAAGTATTTCTAGGTCAGTATTACAGTCGGTTCTTCAGGAAACGAGTTGAAGTGAAAATCCTCCTGTTTTTTCCGCTCCGCTTTCCCGCAGCGCCGCGTTCGAACCCCACGAATGTTCGCAGCAACTCCACGGAGCCGGGCGTTCTGCTCATCACCTGGGACGTGAGTGGCTCGGCGCTTCGCTTCGAAACAGGAAACGCTTCCAAACTTTAACTGAATCTGTTGGTTTCCCTCCGCAGGAGATGGAAAAACGTCTCCACAATGGCCAGGACTTCCAGTACCGGGTGTACTGGCGGGAGGCCGACAGTAGAAACGCAGAGTGGAACTGGGCCTACGCCAAGTCTCCGCCTTTCACGGTGAACGACACGGGAACTTTCACGCCGTTTGAGATCAAAGTTCAGGCTGTCAATGCCATCGATTCAGGCCCGGCTCCTGAGGCAAAGACTGGACACTCTGGGGAGGACAGTACGTCTCCTGATTATTTATTTATCACAGTCAGGAAGTCTAACTTTCTAACTCCAGACTGACAATTATGATGCACGTTTAAAATTCACATTTTTGACTTCAGTTTGAGATTATTCTTCAAATTTTGTAGAAAAATAAATATTCTGATGTCTTTTTAACTTTTACTATAACTCAGTTTCAGTTTAGTTTACAGTATCAGTTAATAACAAATAGGTACCTGCTGTAGGCTATCAGTTTGCTTCTGCCCCCTAGTGGTGGCAGGGAGGCATAGCAGGTGGGAAAAACAGCCGTGGTTATTTACGGCCTTTTTTCATTACAACCACAAACTGAAAGTATGAAGCAAAGGCTGTTGAAAACTTTTGTAAATGTGTTTACATGAATTTAAGAGATGAAAGAACCAGGATCAATTAGTGCAAGACTAAATCATTTATTTATTATAACATGTTTTCTTTGGCTCCCTCTCAGGATTATCAATGTCCTCCTCTTCGCATCGAACCTTTCCCTCACATCAGACTGTCAAAATAAAAGCCTCCTTCTCCATCTTCCTGCCTGTGGCTGTTTTTCCCCTTGCAGAGCCAGAGGAGCCGCCCACCGGCGTTGCCTTCAGCGTGATGAACAGCACCGTCAGAGTGACGTGGAACGAAGCGCAGAACGTCCGCGGCCACCTGCTGGGCTACAGGGTACGCCTCCTTACAGCGTCCTGGAACGTCCTGGAACATCCTGGAAAACATTTGCCACCAGACGGAGACCTGCTTCCATGCAAAAACACAGAGACCTACCAAAGATTTCTTAAAAATGCTAATATTTCAGACTAATTTATGACTAACTTGCTTATTTAAAGTCAATAATGCCTTTGTATTATAAATCCTGCTACTGATAATTTGATGCTTGATGGATTAAGATTAAATATCACAATTAAGTATTATCTGTACCACTTATACCAAAGTATAATTTCATAAGATGCTCAACAAACTCATTTGATTTTTTTTTTAATTCGTACATAATATTACAAACTTTTGTTACAGTTCTCATAAAATTATGAATTTATTCTGGGAATATCATGATTTTTTTTCTTGTAATGTTACAAGAAAGCATTTTTGTAATTAAAAATGAAGTCTTAGCCTGGTTCTAGTACTTTGTCACAGAGTTGCTCTGACTTCAAAGTTAAATAGAAGCCATGAAACGTGTTTGTCAAACAAAATGGCCGCCCTCGCCGTGCTGACGTCACTCTGCTCTATGGAAACCCAACGAGCGCGTTGGTGGAAAAAATCCTGGTTTCCGGAAATTAAATCTTCCAAAACCAAAAGCTGAATTAATCAATAAAGTTGATTTGTTTCTCTGCAGTGGAAACGAGAGGAAAACATTTGGTGAGTTTCTGTGTTTCTGCAGGGTGGGAGGTAACTGGTGGCCGCTTCCTAACTGGTTCCCCAGGACATTTGAACCAATAAACCCAGTATGGGACTCCAGTAAGGCTGTCATCATCTTTCTTCTTCTTCAGCTGTACATCAGGAGGCTGGGTTCCTCCAGCGGACGGGACAGGAGGTCTCTGGGCAAACACCACCACACGGCGGAGAGACACCAACTGGAGCAACACAAACTGGCAAACAGGAACAACTGGGTGGAGGAGGTCCTTGGTTCCAAGACGACCACTGACGTTACTGGTCTGCGTCTGTTCTCCCAGTACGAACTGGAGCTCACCGCCTTCAACAGCAAAGGGGAGAGCCCTCGCTCCTCACCGGTGCGCTTCAACACGCCAGAGGGAGGTGAGGCGACGTTTAGATGATAAATCCATTTGGTCTGATTGGCTGCTGCTGTGCAAAAACACACAGTTTGAGTTTTAAAGGGGAACCAGAATGCAAAATTCTCCTTTTGCACATTTTTATTCTTCCATTTGGGTTTCTGTTGTTTCTACAAACAGCCTTAACTCAAAGTTTAAACAGCACTTAGAAAAACTACGTTGCCATTTTTTGGCAGTAAGTTCATGTTTTCTGGTTTCAAAAAGCTTCAGACTGTAACGTCACAAATCAGCAGGCACTGTTACCTGGCAACCGCAGAAAAGCCCAAACCGTTACCTAGCAACCCCAGTGGAACTCCACCTGTTACCTACCAACCAAAGCAGAGCTCCAGTTCAGTCGGTTGGTTTTACCGCTGTATGCGCTGTACAATGGCTGCTGGAAAGGACAAGAGTTTTCACTGCAAAAACACAAAATCTTGCCAAGTATTTTTGTTCTAGTTTCTAGTGTAAATATCTTGGTACCCTTAAAATAAGTCAAAACTAACTTACAGGGGACTTTTCAGCAAGAAGTAGTAGCTTGTTTTGAGTCATTTATATTCATGAAACTGGTTTAGTTATAAGTGGAATAATCTGCCAGTGGAACTAGAATCCAGTTTTTTGTTCTTCCATCCGGGTTTTTACTGCTTCTAAAATCAACTCAAATGCTTGTAAGAACCACGCAGATGTTTTCTGGGAATAAGTTCATGTTTGTTGGTGTCTGAAAAACCAGTCGTTTCAAAAACCTCCCGATCAAGTCACACTGCACGGTTTCCTAGCAACTCCAGCTGAGCTCAACCTGTTACCTAGCAACCCCGGCGGAGGTCCAGTTCTAGTTCCACTGGCAGATTATCTTAGTGTGCACTAGAAATTAGAACAAAAATACTTGGTAAGATTTTGTGTTTTTGCAGTGTAGTTGACTTTGCATCCAGAAACCACTTGGTGCATTCTTGTTGGTTGAACAGGAGGCTCCACTTCTGCTTTTTCAAGATGTATGATTGTATGATTTCGCATCTATTTTCAGCCATTTTCACAAAAGTGCAAACGCTGGGTTGGGGGCGTGGCCAGCAGCAGCTTATTTAGATTTAAAACAGATTAAAATAAACAGATTAGAAAGTGAAAATGTAATGAATAAGGAATTATAGTAGATCATCTTTAAGTTATCGTATCAACACAGAGAAGTTTGGGTTTTCCAGGTTGACCAGTGATTGTTCTGCTCTCCTTCTCGGTGCGTTTGTCTTCACAGCTCCTGGTCCTCCTGCTTCTCTGACGTTTGAAAGCCCAACGGAAACCTCACTGATTCTTCACTGGTCTCCTCCGCATGAAGTTAACGGAGAACTTCAGAGCTACAAGGTCCAATATCAGCAAGGTAACAGCTGAGTTTGGAAAAAGAGACTTTATTCAGAATGAATTAATCTGACGTTGGGCCTGGTTTGTTTCCTGTCAGAGGGAGGCAGCCAGATGGAGATCCCGATATTCAATGTTTTCTTCAACGTAAACCAGTTTGAACTGATGAATCTGGACCCAAGCAGCTATTACCTGTTTAAGGTTATCGCATGCACCGCAGCAGGATGTGGCCCGCCCATCACACGGAGGGGCGCCACGCTGATGGAAGGAGGTAATCGCGCCACCATCAAACCTACGAACCACATGTCAATACACAGTGATGCTCTGAAGGGGGCGCCATTTTTACCGTTACACAATCAACAAGTATTTATGTCACAACTTCAAATTAAAGCCCCAAACTAAACATTGATTTAGCAAGTTAAACATTAAGTTTGATGCTAAATACTTTAGATAGCAAGATAAATACTTAGTTACCCAGACAAAATATTTGATTTACAAACTAAATATTTAATTATTTAGTTTATTGAGCTAAATGTTTACTTAGACAGCTAAATATTTATCTTACAAACTGAATAATTAGTTTCAATCTACACATTTAGCTCACTAACTCAATATTGAGTTTGCACTCTAAATATTTTCTCTCTAAATATTTAGTTTGAAGCTTAATATTTAGTTTGCTAATTTAATATTTAGTTTGAAAATGTTATAAATGAATGAATGAAAAACAAACCCCCGTTCTTTTCTCTTGACAGGATAAATAATCAAAATGAATGTTCATTTTTGGCTGTGCAACTTTTCAAACCCAAACTCTGTAAACTCCAGCTTCATGACATTAAATTGTTCTATTGTAAACGTCACTCTGCTTCCTGTAGCTCCTCCCACAAACATCACCGTGGTTTCCAGTGTCACGTCCTTCAACCTGAGCTGGGTGCCTGAGGACCGCCACCGGAACCACGGCTTCCACATCCACTACCTCCGGAAGAGCGGTGAGCAGCAGGACACGTCCAAATCCACCAAGTGTTTACGTTTTTAAAACTGCGGAAACAAGACGGGAAGCATGGGACACTGCGCAAATTGGAATCACAAAAATATTTTTTTTAATGGAAAGACGCCAATTTTGGGAAAAAAAGTAAAACATTTTGATTAAAAGTTTTTTGTGCTAGGTTGAGTTGGTTTTGTTCAGTCGTATAAAAATTGGTTTATTTTGCGATACTGTAATGGAAACTGTTGGAAACCACCGGATGTTACTACTGGAGGGAATGACAAAGAAGACGACAGACAGGAAGTAGTTTTTTAATGGCTCACCGCGTAAACAAACTGATTCACGTGGGATTTTAATTATGTTTCTTATTTAATCGAAACATCACAATTGCAAAATTCTGTTTTATATTTATATATATATATATATGTATGTGTGTGTGTGTGTGTGTGTGTGTGTGTGTGTGTGTGTAAAAGCAGAATATCGATATTTGTAATGGAAACTCAGCGGCTAACTTGTGTTATTTCTCTTTGTGTGCAGCCGGCGGTCAGTGGGAGAAGTCAGAGCTGATCAACTCCACGCAGGGTTTCTATTCGCTGACGGGCCTCCAGCCAGGAACCGAGTACAGCCTGAGGATCCTGCACGACAACAACACGCACTGGCAGGAAATGCTGCGGACTGTCGGGCCAGGTGCGTCTGCACAAACACAAACTGCCTCATTGAATGTTGTTTATGTTCGTAAAGACGTTCTAAAGGTGAAACGTTTCTGCCTCAGTGCCGTCGGAAATGCCGGGCCGGTTTGCCACCCAGGGCTGGTTGATTGGACTCATCAGCGCCATCGTCCTCCTCATCCTCATCCTCCTCATCCTCTGCCTCATTAAGCGCAGCAGGGGGGGGAAATACGCAGGTACGGCCAAACCGATGATCTGACGGAAAATAGGACGTAAATACAACGTAAATACAACATGCTCATGTGGAAAAATGTGTTTCTCCTCACAGTGAAGGACAAAGAGAAAAAAGAGATCGACTTCGATCTTCAGAACAAGGATGAAACCTTCGGCGAGTACAGGTGAGTCACCGCCAATCGGAACCGATCGGAACCAATCAGAACCAATAGTCACGGTATCAGATCAGGAATCAAATAGACTTCAGAGATGCAGAAGTCTTTGAACCTCCCGGCGTTCAAAGACACAAACCTTTCTGGTAATTAATTGTGCCATGTTATTATAAATATTTGAAAGTGAAATCAGTTGATAAACTCTAAATTTAAAGTAAATAAGTCAACAAGTTTGATGTCTTATATTTCACCATCAGTCAACAACAGGAAGAATCGATTATTTGTGTAACAGCTTGAGAAATGATACAGAAATCATTTTTCTACATGTAGTAGCATTTAGTTTATTTTGTTGAGTGTTATTTTAAATGTATTTGTCCTGCTAGCTTGGTGCTCTTGTTGGCGCTAAGCAGCTGTTTGACTTGCATTGCCTTGGGCCGGCTCTGGGAACAAAGAGGAACCACTGAATGTTGCGTTTTGTTTTCGCTCTCATGTCTTTCTTTCCTCCTCTCCTGCTTTTCCTGCAGATCTCTGGAGAGGTGAGGGAGTCGGCCTTCCTGTTGTCATGTGCTTCTTCGTTCTCACTGGCATAAAAATAAAACCTTTCTGTTCTTAAATCTGATAAATATCTAAACAAATTATTTCAGATGGTTTACGAAACGTTGATGCTTGCTTATCATGTCCGCCTCATTTTCAACATCTTTCACTGCTTTCTGGGATTCGGATGGTTTTCTCTCCCAAACCAGTTTACACCAGCAGTAAAACCAGTAAAAAATCAGATAAAATGGCGCTGAGTCATGCTCTCACCTGTCCTGCAACCTCACCTGGATGCTTCCCGCTCGGCATCAAAGTCCTTCCTGAAGCCGTTTTTATTTCTGTTGCAACTGTTTGGTTTCACTTTGAAAGGCTGAGAATTTTTTCACTGCTGAAGCAAATTAAACCTGTTTTCACTCTGAAGGTGCAAAGGTTTTAGCAGCCACACAAATCTTTGTTTTTCTAGTTTTTCATGTTTCTGTGAGGAAACGAGGAGAAATTTAAAAATGTCTCAGAGACGATACAGTTTTACAGTGTAGATCCTGTTTCAGTCTGGACCCATTCTCCTGAGAACGGACCTAAAGGTTCCCGGTGGAGACCAAACCTCTGATCCACTTTGTTGCCATTACATTGTGACTCGATGCGCATCATGCTGGGAAATGTAAAGTTACACAAACACTTAGAGCTGTAATCCAGGTTATTTAGCCTAAGAGAAAAAACTAAGGATTACATTTTTAAGTCATATTTTCTCCACATTATTCATTATAAATATCACTGTTTTAAACTAAACATGTAGATCTAAACTAGTTAGCAAGCCAATTATTTAGCTAATTATTATGTAAATATTAGCTTTAAAAAGCTAATTAGCAAAATATTTAGCTAATGAATATTTAGCTACTCATTAGCTAAATATTGCTAATGAATATTGAGCTTTATTAGCAAGCTAAATATTTGGGTTGAAACTAAATATTTAGCTCAAAATATCAACCTGAACAATTAGCTTCAATCTAATTAGTAAACTAAATATTTAGTTTCAAATTAAGTGTTTCAAAACTTGCTATTTAAGTTGGTAATATTCAGTTTACCAACTCAATATTTATCTCTGAATTAGTTAAGTATTTAGTTTTTTAGCTAAATAAATGGCCTGGAACTAAAAATAATTTGGAAATGTGACACTTATAATATGAATGAATGAATGAATGACATGGTGAAAATATGACTCAAAATGAACCTTTTTTCTGACTGGCTAATTGTCATAAAACATTATTGCTGTAAATGTTTGTGTAGCTTCACAATCAGCTTCTCTCCCTCCTGTGGGTTCATAATCAGAGAAATTGGATTTTTCTAACTAAACCAGTGGTTCTGACCCAGTGGGTTCCTCTGGTGCTACAGAACCCATAAAGTTTGAAAAACCCAACATTTGTGTCGCTGCAGGATCATTTGTCTCAGACTGGAAACGACTTTCTGAGCCGCTGCAGCCTTTAAAGCCAGCGTCTTATTTCTGTTTTTATTAAAGCTTTTTATGGCTTTTTGTTTAAATCCGTCACTTTTTGTTCTACATCCCTTTGTGTTCCTAAGATTATAGCAGATTATTACGATCCGTTTAAAAAATATTCACACCTCCTGACCTTTCTAACATTTTGATGCATCAAAGCCACAAACTTCTTGTATTTTCTTTAGATTTTGTACAATAGACCAACATAAAGTGGAGTCAAAGCATTTTACAAATGAAAATCTGAAATGTGTGACACGCATTTGGATACAAACCCCCTTCACTCCAAAACCCCTCAATAAAATCCAGTGAACTGCTCTAGAGGTCAGCTGCCTTATGACCTCTAAACCTTATGGCTTTAGAGGTCATAA